AGCTCACAGCAATCTCCAGCTCCTGGGCTCAAGCAATTCTTCTCCCTCTGCCTCCCAAGTAGCTGGGACCACAGACGCCCGCCACAACACCTGGCTATTTTTTGGTTGCAGCCATATTGTTGTTTGGTTGGCCTGGGCTGGATTCGAACCTGTCAGCTCAGGTGTATGTGTCTGGTGCCTTAGCCACTTGAGCCACAGGCATCAAGCCCCAAGAATTTATTCTAAGGGAACCAATTGGATATACATGCACAAAGATGTCTGCTCCTTCACTGAGGGTAAACAGTGACTAGCTAAACACTAGACCAGCTAAACACAAGGCTCCATTAAATAATTTATGGTCTCCCCAGAATATGAGGGGACCATTAAGAATAATGATACAGTTTTTTATATTGATACAGAAAGTCATTTGAGAAATGTTGATAAGTAAAAAACTCGGTTACGAAGCAACATTAAAACATAAAGGTTTAGAAGTAAACATGAAATGCCCACAGTGGGGGAATTAAGAACAATTAGTTTTCTCTTTGCACTTTTATATGGTCCCTCACCCCCAATGAGTTGGTATTAAATTTGCAACCAGAAAATCAGGTAAGTTATTTTATGTTTTGAAAGAAAAAATCCACTGGGTTTTAAGAAGAGATGATTAGTAACTGTCAGAGAATACTATTACTCATTTCACAGATCCTCCGAGGAGATCCTCTGTAGGCAGGAGCTCTGGATCTTGTAGCTTTGACTCTACAAGAGTGGGGAGATGGATGCTTCCTGGGTTTGCTCCCCAACAAGGATGCAGGTAGTGGGGAATGTGCTCCCCCTTTAATATTCCGGAATAGGCCTGGCAGGAGGAGGCCTTTCCATGCTACCTTAGCCAGTGGTTCTCCATGCTGGCTGCATAGTAGATGCTCTGGGAGAGCTGAAAATAATTCCCACCCCTCAGATCAATGAGATCCCACTCTCTGGGGGTGAGGCCCAGGTAATGGGCCCAGGTAATGAGGCTATTCTGCTGTTGGGGTTGAGTTTCTCCTAATTAGAAAAAATGAGTGAAAAACAAACAGACAGCATCATAAAGGATCAGCATTTTAAAAACATTGAGCTTTGAAAAAAGGATTCCTTGGTCAAATACTTCTAGAACTTTCCTCCAGGAAAGTCTCTAATTACACAAGCAAATAAAGGCTCTGGTAAATAATTTCTGTTTGATGTTTTTCAGTTGGCTTTTCCAGTGGTTTCTGACCATGGAAACTTTTGTCTAGGGTAACCCTTTATCTTGGGTTAGCTGTGCCTGGAGTCTTTCTTGTATACTGCAGCATTTGGCCACCCTGTGGGGACATTTCTCTGTAAGGATCCTAGGACACTGGTAAGACCAGCGCAGATCCCTGGACAGAAACCCAGCGAGGGGAAGGGGAAGAGCTCCAATTCTGGAATGTGGAGTGACCCCTTGTCTACTAGAGTGCCCTGACCTGGGTGGGTGAGGAGGGGACACCCTGGCTACAGAGTCTGCTGTACTCAGGAGGAAAATAAGGCCCCCAAAGATTATTGAGCACCTTGTCCCACATCGGGAAGCTGGGCTAAAATCCAGACTTTCTGCTTCTCAGGCAGACCTCTCCTCCTCCCTCACTAAGTAAAAGATGTTACTTCAGGCGTTTTATGATCTTTGAATACAGGAACACTGCCATGATTAATGGGAACTTTCTGCCTTCTTATCCCATTTTGTGTTCCTATCTCCATCTGCCAAGAAGACACCCAAAGCTCTAAGTATCATTCGGTTGTAAGGAATGTTTAGAATTGAAGAGCTGCTTTGACACAATTAAAAGCTTCCAGAAGGCCGTTATGGCGCCAATTATTTACTTAGCGATAGCAAGCTATTTAAATTTCATTATGGAGTAGAAAATAGGGAGATAAGAACAAAATATGGTCAGGCTGACTGTGACCTCAAAACCCCTGCTCCTTTTGTTCATAAAAGATAGCAGAAGCAGAACATTCTGATTCAAGGATCGTTTTGCTAAACTGTGCATTCTCTTAAATGAAATTGTTCCTTAATCTCCTTGTGGGCTGCTAATGGGCCATTTATCAGAGTGTTCCAAGGCAAAGTGAATCTGGATGAAACGGGGCTACACACTTGGGGAGAGGTGCCCCTGTGTTGTAGGTGGCTGGACAGTGACTCATTGACTCCCAGCTTTGAGCTAAATGAGATACAGTTGTCAAGTCATAAGCACCCCCCATCCCAATGCAAAGAAAGGATTGTTCACGATCTCCCTTTTCTGACTTCCATTTCTATAGATCACTGTAATTGTTGAAACTCTCCTTCCTTTTCTCCAGGCCCCATTCAAGCCTCTTCTCTATGGTTATTTTAACCATAACATTTCTAATGACACAACTTTTCA